ATAGTTGTTTTAATCATATTACTGGGTTTCGGATTATGTATTATGATTCGAAAAAGAAGGAAAGTTGGAGAAAAAGATAAACGTTCTTCAAAACGTATGATACCTAGTACACCAACTGCAGATGATTATCTTAAACCATCAAGTCCATCACCATTTGAATCTCAATTAAATGATGCAGCAGAAAAATTTGCTCAAGAAAATCCACCACAAGAAGAAATTCCACCGTCTGAACATGTTACATATATTCAAAGTCTTGGTGGAGCAAAAGCTTGGGAATGGGCACCTGATGAACATTCGTTAATACAACAAATTGTTTCCTTAACTAACGAAGGAAGTATCGTCACTTTTCATAAACAAGTGAATGCCATGATACAAACGAATTACCCATTCTTTATACCTCAAACAGAAGGGGATACAATTTATGAGCCACCATTTGAACAACCTGAAACCATGGAACATCGACTTGGACAAATGTTGCATTATTTCGAAATTACTATTTTATCAAATCCTGAAGGAAAAACTAATATAGCGATTGGACTTGCAACTAAACCATATCCTCCTTTTAGGTATTTATCAATAATTAATTAATTAATTCATTCATTCATTCATCCCATTCATTCATTTATTCATTCATTAGGTTACCCGGATGGAGTATATATTCGGTTGGTTATCATTCAAGTGACGGACGAAAATTCAACGACGCACCTAGTGGTAGAGAATATGGACCAACATGGGGAGAAGATATAGTTATATTAATACTAGGTATTTTGAGACTTTGAGAAGCAGATTTAATAGTTTTTTCTAATTAATTGTTATTAGATTGAGATTGAAGTTGAGATAAAATTAGAATTAGTTTTATATAAAAGTTCTGCTCTTGTTGAGTTCGGAGCTGATGGAATAGATGCATTGAATTTAATTTGGGTATTATTTTAAAGTATCCAAGCAATACCCGTTTTGATATTTGGCATTTGAGAATTTTTGATTGATGCATCTGTATAGAAATGGTGATTGTTAGGATCTAGAAGGAGAATTTGTTTGTGAAGATTTATGAGTTGTAATTGATAAGTTGGATCAGTAATTGTATTTTGGATAAGAGATATTTCTGGTAATGAGATTATTATTTCTGAAGTTGAATATAGTTGAGGTTTGAATAATAAGTGTTGAACTTTGTAGAGCGCTTGTAGCTTCTGTTAGTTAATACTGAGCTTAAATTGATGTTGTTCTTTTTGGGTTTTGCATTTGATATTAATTGATTGTTTGCAGTCAATTTGGAATTTTGTATTTGTAGGTGAAATGGTTATTGAGTTTGAGTTTGAATGGGAGGTTTGATAAGTCTGGAATAGAATTTGATTAGAAGAGTGGTTGATAATTTTACCAATTTTAAAGTTGGTTGGTATAGTATAGAGTGACCAGTAATTTTTGTTAGAGTTTTTTTGTGTGATTAGATCAAGTGTATTTAAGAAAGGGTTTATAGGTTTGAGGTTTAGTTGTGACCATATTTGTAGTATTGGTAATGTTGTTACTTGATTTGCTATTTGGTTATACCACTTAGGAATTGGTCCACGTGGAGGTTTGTTAGTTCTGAGGTAGATATTTTTCCATAGTAGAAGATGTTAGTTATCTGTGGTAAGTAATTGTTCAAGAAAGAGAATTTGGTTATTTTTTAGACTTAGAATTGTTGAGGCATTAGGGTTTGAGAGGAAGTTGTAAATAGAGTTTAATTGGTTAGAAGATATATAATCTTGTATATTTTTGAATGGAAGGTTGTTAATTGAAATGTTGTTTTTATATAGAGGTATAAGCTGATTAATTATTGTAAAATTTAAAGTTTTCCTCTGATTTGAGAGGATAACTTTTTTTGTTAGTGTAGGTTGCCAGATTTTGGTTAACCATTCTTTGATGCAAGAAATTGTGATTTGAGTTAGAAATAAGTTCGAGTTGAGACATCTGTTGATGTTACTACTATTGGTTAGTAAAAGTAGTTTGTTTAGTGTTGGTATGTTAAGTAGGTGAGGGTTTGTTAAGATATCATTATTTGTGTTAATAGATAGATGCAACATATGTTTGATGTTTTTAGTGAGAGTGCTTGAAAGTTGGTTTATTTTTTTCTGTGAAAGAGAGCAGATTTGGAGAAGATATTCAATTGCTGGTATGAGAATAGTATTGAATAATCTTGAGATATGTATTAGAAAGAGTTTTTTGAATCAGATAAGTTAAGTGAATTGGTTTATTTTGTTAGTTATAATATTGATTGTAGGTTTGGATGAGCCATTCTTATCGAGAAAGATACCTAAATATCTTATAGTATCATTTTGTTTTTGAGGTGAAATTTGTTAGTTTTTGAATATTAAAGAGTGGTTTAGTAGTGTATTTTGTTGTGAGGTTTTGGATTTAGAAATGTGGATGAGATCTGATTTAGAAGGGTTTATTTGGATGTTGTTGAGTTGGTAAAGTTCTGAGATATCGTATAGAATTTCTTGAAGGTCTTCTTTTGATTCACAGTGCCAAACTGTGTCATCCATAAATGCAAGTGGAGGAATTGTGATAGTTGTTGGTTGAGTAGGAATAATGTACTCAAGAGGAGATTTAGTAGAAATTTTAAGGAATTTGGATTTATGCTTAGTGTTGATATAGCTAAGAATAGGATCATAGTAGATTTTCACAGCAATGGGGAGAAGGTTTCACCTTGTTCTATACCTGAATATAAGGTAATAGGGTTTGTAAGGCCGTATGCTATGATTACTTTGGCTTTTCTATCTTTATGTAAGAATTGAATAAGGTTGAGTGTATTTTGAGAAATTCCAATTCTTTTGCAAGTATCTATGAGGCGTTTTATGTTGATTTTGTCAAAAGCCTTAGACATATCTTGAAATAGTATCCATGCTTCTTTGTTGTTTGATTTGTAATGTTCAATAGTGTTTAGTAGTATTTGTATAGGAGTGTGTATTGAGCAATTTTTTGTAGCTACAAAGTTTAAGTTGCTTAGAAGTTGATGTGAGTTAATAGTTTGGTCAAGACGTTTGGTGAAGATTTTTGTTAAACATTTTTTGATAGGCTCGATTAGGGAAATTGGTTGTACTTGGTCCAAAGTAAAGTCCCAGGAAGATTTCTTTAGAATTAGGAAGAGGTTTGCAGTTTTCCATTCAGTTGGTGTACTTTGTAAGGAGAGGCATTTAGAGAGAAATGAGTGAATAATAATTTGACTTTTAGAGTTAAGCATTTTAATATGTTCATAGTTAGATTCTGATGAGCCAGCTGCTTTGTTATTTGGGAGCTCTTTTAATATTTCTGACCATTCATTTGATGTGATTTCTGAAGAAGGTTTTGGAAAAGGTGTTCATTTTCAGAATAGGGTTTGTAGATTTTATAGAAAGGAGAGTCTGGATCTATTGGGCTATATAGGAGTTCCTCAAAGTATTTTTGGAAGTAGTCACTAAGAGCTGATTTAATTTCAGTAGGTTGAGTGGTTAGAATATTGTTAGAGAGGAGTCGATCTAAGTTTATGCTGTTGTTTGATTTTTCAAGAGTATTATGAAAGAAAAGTTTAGGGTTTTGAGTAAATTATTATTTCTTTCTTGTAGTTTGTTTTGAATTTCTAGAAGAGTTTGATCTTTTTTTTCTTTTTGTATCATGTT